TCATTCTGTTCTCAGGTCTGAATTCCCAGGTGGGACATGCAGTCACAAAGAACTGCATCATCATGGGAGTTCATGACAAGTTCTGCTGCCAACAATGTAATTTATCTCCAGTTTGCCAGACTGCAGAAGTTTTGCTTTCTCAACATTTTTTGGTGAAGCTGGAATGTCCAATTGCTTTACCAGGCAGGTATTAGCTATCCTCCCTGGGCACTTCTCTTTTATTAATTTCCCCTAAATCTAAACTGCAACTGAAAGATAGATAATAGCTCTGAGTATATGGAATCAAAACATGAGCACCCTTTCCCAACCAGTGGCCTGCAATTCTGAAGAGCTGAAACCAGTGGCCATCACAGGATGACCTACAAAAGAGTATTACTCTCACCATGATTTTTCTGATATTTTTTGTTTAGGAATTACAAACTTGACTCTTGAAGTTCAAAGTCTCTTGAAGTTCAAAGTCCACACTAAACATAAGGGATGCTAGAGATAAAATAACAGAAGCATGCCTTACTAGACAGCTCGAAGTTCACAAAATACATTAAAAATGTGCATCCTCAGGAAAGCTTTCTTTCACTTCATGTGTTTTCGTGTTTTAATGAGTAGTTATGTGTTTCAAACTGTATTCAGCCATTCCACCTGTTTTTTTAAAACATACCAAATTGTAACATCTTTGATAAAGTATACAAATAGTTTCATTTAATTGTGTTGGATAAGAACAGTCAAATTATAAGCCAGCCTCTGTTTAGTTGAGGACTCAAATGCCGAAGAAATCTGATCAATTATTGTGGTAGTGTAATCATATATGCACAAGCATATAAATATATGTTGTTTGTGTTTATGTATACATACAATCATATATAAATATGCAAACACATGATTAGTAGAAATAGAAATTAAAACTCAAGTAAAAGAACACAAGACAAAATATTGTCATTGAAATGATGGCACTACTTTGGGATAATCTAATAGATATTTGGGAAGGCAAAAATATTTGAATAACATTAACTAGTATCTTAAATTATGTATTTGTAAGACTACCTACATATTAATAATCCAATGCTTTTTATTAACAAAATATATTTGAAATAATATTGTCTCCTATTCTATTTTCCTTATCATATCCTTAAACATTTTGAGTTTCCTTTTTGATAATAGGTTAATCACAGATTGATAAATTGGAAAGGAGAAGCTATTACTAAATCATCGTTTCATTACTCCAAGGTTCAACATTAAACACGCTCCCTGTACCACTAAGCAGTAAAATAAAACATGCAAGTCTCAAAGCAGCCCCTGAAATCTTACTTACAACTGATAATTACTTATATCTCTTTGCTCACATTTTCACTTAACATAATTTTATGAACAAAAGAAGTAAGGGCCTGAATAGTATGAAGTTTATATTCTGCTAGGAGAAAGCAAATAAACACAAAGTAGGAATTAAAAAAGTATTTGGATGTCTCAAAAAGCTCTCTGGTAAAATGTCACTTCAACAGAGACCTAAAGAAAGCAATTAGTCAACCACAGGCAGAGAGGTAGAGAGATAGGTAGATACTAAAAATATTCTTAAAATGTGGGAAAGCAAATGTTTCATCCTTAGCGAGCTGAAAGTGAAGAGAGAATATAAATAAGGGAATTTAATAAAATTATAAGTTGTTATTTTCAAGAATACAACCCCTTGGAAAATGCTTATTCTAAGAAATGATCAATTTTATAAAGTCCCCTGTTTTATCATATACACAAGATGAACACATGAAGAGATGGTTAGATTACCTTGTTTCTAAGGAGGTAGCTTTCCAATCTTGAATCAGTAAATAAAGAAGGTAATGGATAATGAATATGGTTGTTAGTCATAAGACACGCAAAAAGCAAGAGCAGTAATTTATATTGTGTCCATTACTGGTTGCGATTTTACTAGGCAAAGTATAGTGGAATGACCAGAGCTGCAAAAGTATAACAGAAAGACTTAGAAGATGAGTTTTCTAAACTCAATATGAAGGAATGGATTTCAACAGAACCACTACATAGGTTCTGGGTATTTTGTTCAGTTGGGAAGCCATCAAATAGTCTAATGTAAATGCAACACATTCCCACTCATTAAAAAAAATTATACTGCTTGGTTCACCGACAATGTAGAGATTAAGGGAGTTTGTGCCTTTGAATGTTTCACAGTTTTAGAGAAATGGAGATAACTGGCTGGGATCTAGAAAAATCATGAGGATGGAGCACACATCTTTTTGAATTTTTGAAAGACTAAAAATGTTCATTAACTGGTAAGATAGAAATTTCTTGTGAGACTTGAAGGTAGTAATAGATGAGAATAAACAATCAGTTTTATAATTTGTGTTTTAAGTTCCTGTTGGATAGCCAAGGGGAAGTCAAATACTTAGTTAAACTAGAAACTGGAAGTTCACAGATGTGATATAGTCCAGAAATGCAAATTTTTCAGTTGTCACTGTTTAAATGGTACTTAGGTGTAGAACATGTCAGGATCATCAAGGTAAGGAATTCAGGTTGAAAAGTTTGCAGAGCCTATAGAAGTGATCTATCTGATACAATTACTTGCATCTATATTCCTTGACATTGTCAATCCCAACGAGCTTCTTTCCTATTGCACCTCATCTCCTATGCCCCTAACCACCCTGAAATTCATTAGCATCTTAATATATTTTGATTCTGAGTTGCCAAAATCAAGCATCCAGATTAGAACATATCCAGATGCTAATGTGGTCCAGGCGTCATCATGGTCATAGGATGAGGCACAATGAGAGAGAAGCTCTCATCAAGGAATTTGCTCTCTTTAAACTGTCTTTCAACCTCTTATGAGCTATAAGCTATCATCCTTTCCCACATTTTTTCTGATCCAACTCTGAAACAGTTTTCTGTAACTAATGTAATAAAATCTTTGTTTTTCTTTTAACCTTTCTGGACACTAGAAAATTGATAGCACCCAAATTACTCCACTCTGGTACACAGAGTGAACCTTCAAATTCACATTCAATTTAGAATCAACCTATGGGATCATGAAAGGAAATGATACAAAAAAGTATGGATCTGACTTAAAGAGGTCAGCTTAGACCACAGACTAGCTTCATTTCACTTTGTTCGCATCTCTTAAAAATATTTACTTATCTATTGGAAAGGAAGAGAGAGAACAAGAGGGAGAGCAAGAAACTTAAAGGGCCCTCCCTATAGGCTGGCTCATTCCCTAAAATGTCAGCATCAGCCAAGGCTGATGGGGGACTGTTCCCAAGAGCAAGACACTAAATTTGTAGTAGTAAGTTTCCAGATTGTTCATAGAATTTATAGACTGTTCATAGAAGCCCGTAGATAGTTTTAAATATAAGTACTTTGAAACCCCCATAATGTTTTCTGCCCTACCAAAAGTATGAAACACAGTCATTAAACTTCAGAAGATGCAAGCAGTGCTTTAAATACCCACAATCACAGACCTTGGTGAAGAATCCCTACCTTTACAATATTCTCCATGTGTCTCAGAACATCAATGAATGCACACATATACTTACACACACAGACACAGAGCTGCCTGTGTGTTCAACATGAGACTTGTACACATAATGCTTTTCACTTTTACCTACTGGCAATGAAGTTCTGCTTCAAGACACCATCTTTCCCTTCTGTGACCATTTTGTCCCCCCTGAAAAAGTTTTCTTTTATTATCTGGAACACAAGCTCTCTTAATCTTCCATATTCAGAAACATGTTTCATTAAGGTGTAAGATAAACTAATTCATTTTAACATGGAAAAAATGTATGCATTTTTTTCTCACCAGTTACAAGAGAGAGAAGTTGACATTATATTGAACACAGGACATTAACTTGTAAAACCAACACAGTAGAATTCTTTCATAAGTCAGTGGCCAGTTGAGGGAACAGGAAAGTATTTTAAGTATTGATTTACTCTTCTGATATGGATTGAGTTTTTATGAAAGGACTGTGCAAAGGCAGCAGGATGAAACTATACTATAGATGCAGTTACCTACAACACTTCAGCATCAGCCTGGCCATAAAGCCTATCAACACAGTTTTTGAATTGAATCCCATTTTTCATTTTGCCTTCTGCTGCACTGTAATAGATTTAGGGGATAAATATTAGCAAGTATCCAAAGCCAGTACATTTTCCCCTAAAATTCAAACAATAAAAATAAAAGTGAAAAACTACAATATACTGTTTATTGGTGCTTCAGAAGCAATCGCATGAAGATTATGTAGTACCATAAGATATCAGAGTGACTCAGGGGAGAAAGCTGCAATTAAAAGTTATCTTTTCAGCATCTCATTGATAATCTAATAGAGTGACTTACTTCACTTAAATGTCTGAGTGAAGAATATATACAGTTGGTAATATTGGATTCTGTGCGTTCCTCATTAAATGTTAGCATACTAAATATCAAAATCACAAAATGCATATATTGAGTATTTTCTTTTTTCAGATATATACCATGGATTGTCAAGCCTTCAGTCACAGAAATATTTACTCACCAACATTTTTTGAAATTAAACATCAATGAATTGGGTAAGATGGTCTACAGGTAACCCATCAAACTGTTCTTATTGCTTAAAAATCATAAATATTAAAACTTTAGAGCACTTTATTTTTAGAATCTTACCAGATTAAGTAGGAAAGAAGCAACATCAATGATCAATGAATTCATGTTTTTCAGGAACTGAAAATCAAGTCACAATCCAATTCCTACACTCATGAACATGTACATTAGTAAAATATAAACATTGACACATTTCATTAAATTTTTTCTTCCTACTTTTTGTGTTAATAAATGCATATGAATTTTACAAACCATTAAAACTTTTTCAAACACCAGATCAAACTTCCAAGCCAATTTATACTTTTGTATTAGTCCCTATGAATCATATTTCCAAAAAAAAACTACGTATGACAAATTTGTATACAAACAACTGATGATCTGTTGAATATAAAATTTAATTCATCAATAGTTAAGTTTAATGAAGAGTCTAACTTACCGGTGGATCAGCCCCCTTAGAACCAGTCAGCCCTCCTGTTAGGGATTCGAGATCCTGAAAAGGGGAAAGGTGTTGATTGTAAAATGCCACTCAAAAGCATGAAGCATTCCCCAAACCCACGCTGTGCTGTTTTCTTCAGCTGCAGTGTCAGGGCACTCCAGCTGCTCTCGTGTATTTCTGTAGAAACCTTCATACTGTACTATACAAATAGCCTGTACCTAGACATTTTTTCCAATGTCTGTAAAGTGTATGAATGTGTAGATAGAAGCAGATTTAGGCAGAGAGAGATAGATACATCGAAATACATAAATACAGATACATATCTTTAAAGTGCTCTTGAAATGTGCCAAGAAAATGACTAAGTGGAAATACAGATTTAATCTTTAATGAGCTAAAGGTAGAACATAGCGAAGGAAATTTAATGATTATAATGTAAGATACTAACAATATGAATCCCCTGGAGAAAAGCTTATTCTAAGAAATGCTTAATTGTATAAGGTCCACTGTATTAACAAACACACAAGACGGATCTAGAAAGAGATATAGATGAATTTGCTTATTCCTATTAAGTTAATTTCCAATTTTGAATCAGAAAATACAGAAGGTCAAGAGTAATGATTATAAGCGTTAATCGTGATAAATAGGTATACCATAGAACAGGCTGTGAGAAAACACAATTCCAGATTTTAAAGAGCAATATCAAATGTTTCTAATGTTTGCAACTGATTTAACTTTTAAGCTACCTCCTATCTCTCCCAAATGGAAACCAAACAAAACAGTGGAAGAGATTCAAGATGAAGCGAAACACTGCACTTTTTTTTTTTTTTTCTGAAATGGCCCTTGCTAGTCTTCCCGATTGCCTCTTATCTGGATCAAATTGAAGGGATATGAATAAGAATCCTGAGTAAATATAATTGATGGGAGAAGGAAAAAAAAAGTAATGATCAACAATGAAATAAATGAAAATTAAATGCCTGTTTTTTAGAGAATAAGCCAATACCCTGTCAATAGTAAGACTTATGTTAATAATTGCCTTGGACCATAATTACAGAATTGCCTCTTGGTATTTTAAGGATGATGAATCTTACCAATATAAGATGAGGCTGAGATGAATGTATGATGTGAATACTAAAGTAACAGGGGGAAGAAGTTTCGTACTATAAATGTTTCCTTCCGAAGAAACTAACCTAGATTATTGCGACAGTGAATTTCTTCATTCACTTTCTATTAAGGATCTAGTACAAGTAAAGAGACCACAAAGGATATTTATTAAAAAGTTATTAAGCTGTCTTCTCCCTAATGAATATTACATTTACACAAACGATATTCCTCTAGCTACCATTCTTTTGAGGAATCTTCCCTTTAGCCAGATTCTAGCCTCACGAAGGCCTATACAAATTGGTTTCAATGTTGTAGAAGGCTGTCAGAGAATCAAAGTAACATAAATCCACAAGTCCTGGAACTATTATGATAGAGCTCAAAACCTAGATTATGTAATTTGAAGCATACTTGAGACAAGGTAATTTCTACATGCAATTCACTTTAGGACAGGCTTCTGGCTTGCAAAAGCCAAAATACCACCAATTAGTGTATCCTCAACTTTTCTCAAAGGCCATCTCTGTCATTCTCAGAAAACTGCACTGCAACATCCGGAGCACCATCAAGAATCACATGCTAAAAGGATTTCATCTTACACCTTTTCATAACTTTTCTGTTAACTCACATAAATAAATAATGTTCCTGAGTAGTATAAGTAGAAAAGGAAGCATATTTCTATAGTACTTCCAAAGTTCATGGAAAATGGTTTTAAGATTCTTTAAACCGTTTTTTAAATTCATAGAATTGTCCTTATACAAATCTTGAATATCCTCCATTGCAAATATTTCAAACACTTTTGGGCACCAAACTGTATCTTAGGGTTTCATAATCCAAGAACTGTCTGAAGCCTTTTTGTAGTTACTTAATGGAATACAAATGTGATGAGACTATCAGATGCAATGATAAAATATATTTTTAAAATATCTCCAGAATAGCATAAAGCAAACTGATATTAAGTAACAAAATGGCTAAAACATCATATTAACAGGATAAAACTGCACTGCTAGATAGTTATAATGATAGCTAAAAGTTCTCTTTATATAAAAATTCATTTCCAAGTATTTTGTGAGTTAATAAATGTCATGCTTTATAGACAAAGACATATTCATTACATTAGAAACATAATTCCTAACAAAATTGTGGGACATACACATTTATTCAGTTTAAAAATATTTTAGCAGGGCTGAGGGTGGTAGCCTAGAGGGTAAGATCCTCGCCTTGCATGCGTCAGGATCCCATACGGGTGCCATTTTAATCTCAGTGGCAACACTTCCCATCCAGCTTCCTGCTTGTGACCTGGGAGGGCAGCTGAGGATGACCCAAAGCCTTGGAACCCTGCACCACTTGAGAAATCTGGAAGAAGCTCCTGGCTCCTGGCTTTAGAACAGCTCAGCTCTGCCCGCTGCAGCCACCTGGGGCGTGAATCAGCAGATGGAAGAGCATCGTCTCTCCTCTTCTCTGTATTACCTGATTTTCCAATAAAACCATTAAATCTTTTAAAAAATATTTAGTAATTTAGTTGGTGCTTTATAGCACTCTTTAAAATTATGCCAACAAGATTTCTTGCTACCTTAGATAACTTGTGTTACCTTTAATTTTTTTTAATAAGCTGTTCATGATGGCTATCAACTGAGAAAAATCAAGCAAAAGTATTTACAAAATAAATTTTAAAATACATTGGTTATTGAGCTTTTTAACACACTGAATTAAAGGTTAACTGAACCCCTGACACCAAGGAGTGTATAACCTTTTCCTCTTTGCTCATTCAATTATAAACATTTCTGAGTACATGCTCCATTTTGAGTGTATGTTAACAAAGCGTGTCCTACTTGGGCAGAAGCCCAAGTTAAACATGACTTATCACTTGATGCAAAAAGGATTTTGTCATGTGTGAATAACGAACATAAGTGCATATGAAAGCATTCATATTGCAGAATTAATGTGTAAAATAAATAAGTCCATGAAGGAGCTCTGAACAAATGCCTTATCACAGGGCTGTCAAATGATGGCTGAAAGTGAGTCAATTATCTTTATTGGGGGGCTTACAAATTTTCGTTTTAGAAGTATTAACTTGAAAAGCAGAACATGAGGGAGGGAAGCAGGAGAGGAGAGAGGAAGGAAAAAAGGGAGAAAGGAAGGGAATGAGAGAGAAAAAGAGGAGAAAGAAAGATCTTCCATTTATTGGTTTTTCTCCCCCAATGGCTGCAACACCTAGAGATGGTACCATTTTGATTGTGCAGGTATGATTCAATCATGATCTGACAAGAGTCCTGGTGCAATGTCTTGTGAAATTCCTAGAATGTGGAAATGGTAGAAATCTTAGGAGAAGCTTGCGCACAGCTATTTATTGGAACATGATGAGACTTCCTACTTCATCCCTCAACATCTATCCAAGATCCACCTGGAGGATATAAAACTGTCAGTGTGGTATGGAAAGCTTCTCCTGAACAGAATATTTCACGTTCTTATTGCCTGTCAAATGGCCATTAATGTTGAGTGCTACCTCACGAAACTGGCGACCACCATAATTAGACTGGATCAAACAGGCGTTACTGAGGCAAAATTTAAGGCGGCACTGATTCTAAGGGGCACACAGGGCTAATCCGGCACTTGTATTATCTTCAGAGTGTCTCCATAGTTTTTTCCCTAAACACCTCTTTTTTCCCGCCCTAAAGTTGGTCCTAAAACTATAATGGCCTTCCTTCTGGTGCCTATGTAATAACTGATAAACCCATTGTGTTTAATGTCTCTTTGGCACCTGAGACTACAGAAGTGCGACACACCAAACTAGCACCTGCTTCAAGTTGTTTCTCAGAAACCGGTTTACTTAATATCAGTATTACATATCTTATATTCTATGGGTTACTATCATGTATACAGAATAAAATAAGCTTATTAATTATATAGTCAACTTTACTTTTTTTAAAAAAAACGTTAATTAGGGACAATTTGTAGCACACATGTTAAGTTGCCTTTTGGCATGCCCATATCCCATACTTTGGTGCCAGTTCAATCCCAGCTACTGTGCTTCTCACCTAGCTCACTGCCAGTGTGCCTAGGCAATGCTAGAGGATAGTTCAAGTTCTTATGTTTCTATGACTCAGGTGGGACAGCTATGCACAGTTCCAGGGTCAAATTGTGGCTATTTCAGCCACCAGGGAGAGAATTATCAGATGAATGGTCTTTGTCTCCTTTTCAAAACAAATAAATGTTTTTAAAACTCAGGTAACAGAAGTTTTTCTTGACTCTCACAGATGCAAAAAAGTGAGGTTAACAGGCAATCCTTGAAACAAGCTAAATAGTCTCTGTTCCTAGAAAGAACCTGGTAGGACAGGGCTGGCCCATGAGTCACATGCCATTGGGCTCAGGAAGGCTGTGTTCCAGAAACTGCAAGGTGGTCAGAGCTGTAGACAGAGTGAGACTCAGGCAGTACAGTGACACCTCAGGCGAAGTGAATACAACATCACACTGCATGAACACTATTGGTTAGTAAATACTATGCTGTCCCAGGACCTCATTCTCCAAGAATTGACAAGTTGTCTTTGATGAACACTGTAAATGATGAACCCATACTAATAAGTATTAATTAGATATAACACTACATTCCATTGTTATAAATATATTTATACATACACATACGTCTATGACATCTTTAAAACTTTTATTTGAGCAATAAATATAGCACTTATGGGAACTTCAAAATAAATATTATGTTTTAAAGTTCCACTCTCTTGATAAAAGTACTATTTGGGTGACAAATGCTTTTAAAAATAAATTCATTATGATAATGGCATAAATATAACTGTATGTTACTTTTACTCAGTGTTCATCTGCACTAAAGATAGCATACAAGTGTCACATGATATAAGGAATGCACATGAAAACATTTTTCTAGAAACTAGAAACTAGGTTGTCATTTTATTTTGAGAAATGTACCGTGTTTCAAATAATCAAGA